GGGGGTCCGGGTCTCCCGGGTGTTGGGTGAGTGGGGAAGGCGGGGGCTCCCAGGTGTGGGTGAGTTGGGGAGGCGGGGAGCCCGGGTGCAGGGGATCCGGGGCGCTGGGGTCGAGGGCGCCCGGGTGGGGGCGGGCAGCGACGACACAGGTCCCCGGGTGCGCACGCGTCCCCACAGTCCCGCCGGCACCCCGGCACGCCAGTGACGTCGGGCGGAGGGCACGCTCCGAGACAGGCCTGCCGCAGACTCGGGCCCGGTGCGGGGACGCGCGGGGCCGAGGAGGGGGCGGCGGCCGTTGGCGGCCCAGGCGGGGCCTGCGGCTCGGCCCGTACCCTCCGTCCCCGGCCCGCAGCTACCGCCCGCCGTAAGGGACGCCCTAGCCCCAGGCCTGGCCCCCCAGCCGACCTCGCTCCGGGCCGCCCCACCCCCGCCCAGGAGCTCACCTGCCTCGCGCCACAGCCACCACACACGGCGCCGCCGCTGCCCTCCCAGGCCTGGTCCGCGCCACCCAGACCAGATCCGGAGAGGAGCTCTTGCGGACGCCAGCCAATCATGGGCCGCGCCTGGAGGCGGGGCGGGCGCAACGCGGACTTCCACCAATCTGGAGCGCGCCACCTAAAGCCCCTCGGCCAAGGAGAAGGCGGCCTGTCTAGGAGCCCGGCCAATCGCGAGCTGAGGCCGAGTCCTGAGGCGGAGAAGTGGGCGGGGCTGCGAGGAGACGCGCCCGGCCGTACGGCAAGGGGGGACGTACGCTGCGGGGGCCGTACGGCGGAGGCGGGAGAGCGGCCGCGGCGGGAGGGGCCGCGGGGGGAGGGGCGTGAGGCGACCGTCCCCGTACCGCTCCGCCGCCCCGCGGGTCCCGCGCCGCAGGCCCTGCAGGGGCCGCTGGGGGGACCGCTGTAGGGCGGGACGGGGGCGACTGCCGCCCCCCTCTACAGGAGGGGAGACTGAGGCTCCGGCGGGCGGGAGGGCCCCGGCGAGTCCTCTGCTCTCCGCTCGCAAGCGCACGCAACGGCCGCGTCTCTCGGGCAGCGGTGGCGCGTTCCCCGGGAGTGAGTTGTGGGGTGGGGGGGCTGCTGGATCGAGGGAGCGGGGAAGGAGCCGGGAGAAGTCCGCTGTCCTGTAGGGGGGCGCGGCTGCGCGTTAGTTCGGACGCGCGCGTGCGCAGTAGCGGCCGGCACAGGTGGCCGCCCAGGTAAACGTTTTGGTCCCTAGGTAGGGGGGGGGGGGGGGGGGCAAAACTATTTCTGGCAAAAACAACAAAAACAGGGAGGGACTTTTTTAGGATTTAACAAGCAAAACGGGATGCTCGGAGGAGTGAGAAGCAGTTGAGAGCAGGGATAAAACTGTCCCCCGTGCGGACACACAGTGCCGGGAGGAAACCCGCAGTCCTCTGGGTCTTGTCTCTGCCACCTGGGGAAAGAGGCCGAAACCAGGCACAGGCCCACCGGTGCTCACTCCAGTGAGCACCTGAGCTAGGGGACGGGTTCCACACCTGGAGTCCGTCCTGGGACCCACACCCACCCTTACTGGCTTCCACCTAGTTTGTGCTGGCTTCGTCTGGACTCACTGGCTGGAACTCGTCTGTACCAGTGAATTGGTCTGAGTCCATCTGCTACCGTCGCGGTGGGAGCCCGAGTAACAAGTACTCTGAGAGCACCTGGTCCACCCCTCAGGAGGAGGCCCGAGAAGGCGGAGACTTCTCTGCAGGGCCCCGTTAGGGAACGACTGGGGCCCTTGCTTGCCCATCTCCCCCACTTTGCCCCTCTCCTCTCCCTCTGGCTGTGGGCCAGCAACTCCACGGGGCCTTCCCCACTCGCCTGGCCCACCTGTGACCCTCCTGGACAGCTCCTTGGGCGCACTACCCTCCTTACTGGGGTTGCACTCCCACAATGTCCCCACACTCCAGGGCCGGAGCTGTGTGGTAACAGCACCTGGGCAAGCCTCAGAGAGTGGCCTGGGGACGGGGTAAGCAGCTTGGAGGAAAACAAGCAGAGGCAGGGCTAGGACGTGGGAGGCCTGCAGATGTAGATGTGGCAGCAGGGAAAGCAGCTGTGGTGGTGACGGAGGAGACCCGGACGGAGCGAACCAGCAACGTTCTGGGCAGAGAGAACCGCAGATGCCAGCGCCCTGAGGTGGGAGTTAAACACTTGGAGGCCTTCACTCACTGTTCAAGGACGCAGAGTATGTGTGGACCCTGGCTTCCAGATGGAAAGAAAAGGAAAGGATCCTTCGAGTGACAGCTAGTCAGTGTGAAGTCACAAGGGAACGTGACGTGAACGTGACGTCGCAGACTTAAATTATGGAAGAGACACGTCCAAGAACAAAGCTAGTTCTGGAAAAAGAAACAGGCGCCTGGGTGGCTTAGTTGGTTTGGACGTTGACTCTTGGTTTCAGCTCAGGTCGTGATCTCAGGGTCATGGGATCCACTCAGTGGGGAGTCTGCTTGTCTCTCTCCCCCTCTGCTCTGCTTCTTTCAAAAAAATAAGCAAAAATCTTCAAAAAAAAAAAAAAGGAAAGAAACAGCACCTTACTGTGTCACACAAATGTGTAGAGGCTGGGACATGAAATGCACTCAGGAAATGACAAGCCTTTAACTGAAAATTCTATGTGCTGTGGGATTCCATGTGTTCACACACATACACAGAGCACAGAAAAATGATGCCAGTGATTCTATCCAAGTAGGGGCATCGTAGATTGCTCTTGTCCTATTTGATGTTACTGTATTTTGCACAATGAACTCAAAGTTTTAGAAGTTTTAAAAGTTTCTAAACAAACTACAAAAAAGTACTGCAACATGCATCTTGATTCCACCATCCCGAATTAACTATTAACATTTTTCATATTTTTGAAGTTTCATTTTTAAAGAAATAAAACTACTGCTAGATGACTGGAAAGCTAAATGAAAAGGAATGCTACAGTGTCTAAAGATGATAAGGAGAGCTTGTTTCCCAGCAGCGTGGAAGGATTTCTTAAACAAAACCTCAGAAGTACATGGATGGATCTGATTATGTCAAAATGAAAGGTGTCTGGGGCGCCTGGGTGGTGCAATCAGTTAAGCGTCCAACTCTTGGTTTCAGCTCGGGTCATGATCTCAAGGTCATGAGATTGAGCCCTGCATCGGACTCCACGCTCAGTGTGGAGTCTGCTTGAGATTCTCTCCCTCATGCTGTCTCTCTCTCTCTCTCTCTAAAATAAATAAATATAATCTTAAAAAAAAAAAATATCTGTTCCGTAAAAGACACCATGACAAGCCAGCAGCCACTCACTGGTCAGAAGACATTTGCCATGTTTAAAACAGACAAGGAGCTACTGCTTAGAGGGTGCGAGGAGCCCCTGGAGATCATCGAGAGGAAAACAGGAACACAGTAGAGAAGTGGGCAAAGGGTGTGAACAGGCAATCCCCCGGTAGGAACCCTACATGCACGACAAGAATAGAAGAGATGCTTGATGGGGCGCCCAGTTGGCGCATGAGTGTGCAACTCTTCATCTCGGGGTTGTGAGTCTGAGCCCCATGTTGGGCGTAGAGATGACTTTAAAAATTTTAAAAATCTTAAAATTCTTTAAAAATTAAAAAGAGATGCTTGAGCTCATTTGTGATCAGAGAAACGCAGATGGAAGTAACTCCTTACCACTGCACCTCTGTCTAGTCAGCAACAGAGAGTGGATAATGCCAAGTGCTGGTGGGCAGGTGGAGGGCACAGGGATGCTCATGCCCAAGATCTGCCAACCTGCCCCCAGGCCCACAGGAAGGGAACTTGAGCAGGGCCTTCCTTCTGAGGTGCCCATCCCCACACTCTGTGGTGGGCAAACAGGGACACTCCACTGGTCCTGCAAACCTGGACACCCTGGCAGGCGGGATCCCAGGCAACAAGCTGGATTGTCCCAGGCCAACTGGGCAGATGGCATGCTGGTTACTTGTATGCGTCAACTGGCAGAGAGAATCCCTTTCTCCTCCACCGTGTGTTCTCTCCGGGCCCACACTGAACTGGGCGAGCCCCACCCACACCGGGGAGTGCCATCTGCCTGACTCCAGCTACTGAATCAAATGTTTATCTCACCCGGAAACACCCTCACAGACATGACCAGAATAATCTTTGAACCTATTTTTGGGCTCCCCGTGGCCAGTCCAGGTCTTCTCCTGCCTTTGGACTCAGACTGGAGCTTACACCATCGGCCCTCCTGGGTCTCCACTGCTGGGTGTTTCAGCCTCCATAATCCTGTGAGCCAATCTCATATATATATATATCTCTTCCATGTGTATGCACCTCCCCTGCGTGTGTTCTTCCACTGGTTCTGTTTCTCTGGAGAACACAGACTTATACAGCATAACACCATTTAGGTGAGTGAAAACACACCCAAAGAGGGCTGGTGTGTAATAAGGACACTTAGAGCAAGAAAGAGAGACACCAACCATAACATGGGTGCCTGTGGGGAAGGGAACGGCAGTGGAGTAGGGAATGATACGGAGACTAACTGGGGAAAATAAGGAGGGATCAACAATGACAGTGAGCCACAGAGGAGGGTTGAATTACCTCCCCCTTCCACCCTGGACAGGAGAGGGGGGAGCATCACACAGATAGATGGTAGTTAAATAGGTAAAGAGAAGGGTAGATGGTTGATAGATGATACATAAACCTAAAGCTCCCTGGTCCCCTTCTCAGCCCTCAACAGGGAGGCTCGTGGACAGATTTGCAGTGGCTCTACCCTCCCGCACACAAGCAGGTTCCCACAAGGATGCACGCCCTGCCGCTGGGTGTCAGGTGCGTGCGGACCACCCGTGCACGGCCGCTCTGCTCAGCGTGGCCCCGCTCCCCACGTTAGGCTTTGAGATGGAGCCCCTTGGTACCAAGGGCTCTACTCCATTCCTTATGCTGGATGTATCATACTCCAAGATAAGAACAGAGCAAATCTGACCCAACCATTCTTGTACCGATGGGTGTTCAAGCCCTTCCCGCGTCTCACTATGGTGAACACCACCTGTGGGCATGTCTTCTACCCAGAAGCAGGGCCTCTCAGTGCAGAGACAACATGTCACCAGTTATAGATAGACCAAAATTATCTTTATAATAAATGTTCTATAAAGATTATTGTATAATATATGTAAAGCATTTATTAAAATGTTACTAAATACAGAGGCACCTGGGTGGCTCAGTCGGTGAAGCGTCTGCCTTCAGCTCAGGTTATGATCCCAGGGTCCTGGGATCGAGTCCCACGTCGGGCTCCCTGCTCAGCGGGGAGTCTGCTTCTCCCTCTGCCACTCCCCCTGCTTGTGCTCTCTTGCTTGCTCTCTGTCAAATAAATAAATAAAATCTTTTTTAAAAGTTAGTAAATATAGATTATGATTACAAACAGTACCTTTATATATCATGCAGATATCTGCATGTATCATAGAGATAAATAAGGTGGGTTTAATATGTTTGTATATTATATGAATGAATGCAACTATGATTCATTTATTTCCAACTACATAAATTCCAAAGAATTAATGAAGAAATGTTTCAGTCAAGGCAGAGAAGCAACATAATCAAACTTTCTCTGCTACTTTCCCATGTTTTGGAACTTAAAATAATTTTTTTTAAGATTTTTACTTATTTATTTGACAGAGAGAGATACAGCGAGAGAGGGAGCACAAGCAGGGGGAGAGGGAGAGGGAGAAGCAGATTCCCTGCTGAGCAGGGAGCCCGATGCGGGGCTCGATCCCAGGACCCCGGGATCATGACCTGAGCCAAAGGCAGACGCCCAATGACTGAGCCAACCAGGCGCCCCTAAAAGCAATTTTTCAACATAACTTCACATCACTTAAATAAATAGCAAAGAGATTCCACTTTGCAATGTCTTAACCCATGGATGTGGAATAAAATAATGACAGGTTTTAAGGATGGAAGATTGTAAGTGGTTTTTTTCCCCGAGGGGTAAGTGGGAGGAGTGTGGGTTGGGGGGCCAGCAGCTCTGGCCTCCCACCCACCCTCAGTCAGCCAACTGGAGCTGTGTGGCACAACCTGTCCGTGGCCTCCCTGGGCCCCAGGGGCCTCCACTATAAACAGGATTGATCATGTCTGCCTGCAGGGCCTCTGGGAGAATGGAGGCAATGTGTTTGCAACACCTGGCCCTCTGGAAGCGATAGGTAAGTGACGTCCATTACACAGGGATGCTGGTGAGAAATGCTGCCTACAGCTATGCCGTGGAGCAGAGGCAGTCTGAGGCCAAAGCCCACTGACGTCTGGGGACAGGCAGGGGGCTCAGGACCCCCATCGTGGGCTTGCAGGCAGGTGGGTCACACACCTCCGAAACCCCAGCACTCTGTGGGCCCAAGGCACTACCTTGCACTCCTGCAGACCAGGCCAAGGGACACTCACGATTGTCACGTGTCACATGCGTGAAGACAAGGGCTTTCAGGGGCATGGCTCCTGTAGGGGCCAACGTCCTTGTGCTCTGCACCCAGAGCCCACTGCCTGGGTTTCTCACAGATGGTGGACATCCCGGTACCAGGACCTTGCCCCTGGGAGTGCTGGTCCTCTCACGCTGGAGGCACAGAAGGCCCCCATCCAAGGAGGAACAGGAGGAGCACGTGAGGGAGGGCCAAGGACAGGCGGCGGGAGAGCGCAGCCAGGGTCTGCTTCTCTGCCTGGGCAGCGAACAGCCTGTCCCTGACATCTCCTGTCTTCCCACTGCTGCTGGTCAGTATGGTTTCACAGCCAGGGAAACTGAGGCAGAAGCTGCACCAGCAGCCTGGCTAGAGTGGAAAGAGGAGACAGGTGGTCCGCTCGTGGTCTTGAGAGCAGGGAAGCAGATGGAGGGCAGCAAACACCTGTTTTGCTACCTTGCCAGAGGGAGGAGTCCTCTCTTCTCCGTGAACTCATACCTTCAGCTGTAAACAGAACCCGACTCCTGGGAGAGGAGTAAGTAAGACGGGGTCAGAAACCCAAGCCCGAGCTTTGTGCATCTAGATGTTGGGGCCAACGTGAGATCAGAAGGCAGGGCTGGCGGAGAAGCCGGTGAAGGAAAATTACCAGGAGCAGTGCCTCGAGGGAAACAATTTCACTTCTCCTGGTGCTGGTTCCTGTGCTGCCTACCTCTGGCTCCTCCTGGGGCTGGGGGCGGGGGAGGGGGTGGCATCCAGAAGGGAATGCTGGTCTCTGCCGCCTGTGCTTGCGCCCTGAGGCTGGCATCGGCAGCTCCCCGGCCCGGGTGTGGTTTCGCACGCACAACAGACGTAGGGGTTCCTAGAAGGAACGAACAGACGGCGCTGGCCGTCCCTGCTCTGGCCCGCCGTTCCAAACTCTGGAATTCAAAGATCCACATCAGGATGTGCTCGCTCTCAACACGGGCTTCTGTTTTAGTCACCCTGCACCTCTGGTTCACAGAAGCCAGTGGTTGGTGGCAGCCTCATCTGGATCATGCTCCTCCTCAACACCCTTCCCCTGGGTCTCTGGCTCCTCCTCAGCTTCTTCTCGGGTCCTTCCTCATCCCTCTGACCCCTGGATGCTGAGGAGTTTGGGGCTCATCCTTGGATGTCCTATTTCTATCCAACGCTCATTCCTTTCAACACGTCATAAGCTGATGATGCCAAGATTCATGCCTCTAGATGGGAACCTCTGAATTCCGGATGCAGATGTTGTTACCTTTACTCCACCTCTCCTCAGTTCCTCTCTACCTTTCAAACAGATGCCCCTGACTGTGGCCACGCCCCTGACACGAGCCACCACCAGCCTTTGCTCAGATGACCACAGGGGCCCCCCAGCTGGTCTCCCTGCACCCACCCTTAGCTGTCAACACTCCTCCATCCTGTGACCTCTCCATGGCTCTCAGGTCACTCAGGGGAAAAGCCCAAGTCCGTATCCTGGTCTTGAGCAACCCCTCCCCCACGTTCACAGCAGCCAAGAGGTGGAAGCAGTCCACGTGTCTACTGCAGATGATGGATAAACACGAGGTGGCCCATCCACATGGTGGGATGTCACAGCCTTACAAAAGTAAGGAGACTCTGACGCCCACTGCCACAGGGATAAGTCTGGAGGACACGATGCTCCGTGAGATAAGCCAGACACAAGACGACAAACGGTGTGTTTGGTCCACTTCCGTAAGCACCTGGAGTTGTCAGACTCACCGACAGTAGGCTGTGGGACCAGGGCTGGCCGAGCGGGGCTCGAGCTTAACGGGGACAGTTTGTCTTGCGAGAATGCAAGAGCTTTGGACATGGCTGGCGGTGGCGGCTGCGCAACAGTGTGAATGTGCTCCACCCACCGACTACCCACTTAAACATGGTTGAGACGGTAAGTTGTGTACTATGTGTGTTTTAGCAGAATTCTGTGGGCCATGTGGAAAGCAGCCTTCCCCGGGTTCTTCCCGTGGATGCAATTCTCCCGCTGATTGTGAAACCACCTGCCTGGGGACTCCAACCCCTTCGGAGGAGAAAGGGCAGCCTGAACACCGTGACCTGGGAGCCAGACGGGAGAGAGGGAGGCTGCCCTCTGACCGGAGCGGAGGCCACCCCTGCGAGGAGTCCTCTCTCAGTTTTTATTATTCTTCTACTTCAAGGCAAGCTGTGTTGTAGGGAAAAAATGAAAAAAAAAAAAAAACAGTAAGGGGGGGTACCTAATATCACTTTAGGACATCACTGCAGCAAGCCATAAAAAAGAACCACCTTTCACGCTTTAGAGCATCATCTGACATACGTCTCTCTTTTCTTAAAACAAAACTGGAATTGTACTGTACGTCTTCTTTCATGAGCACCCCTATCGCTGTCTGGATGAATTCTCCTCATTGCGTTTCCGTATGGCTGGAGATGTCCCACCGTGAAGGAACACCACCTGAACACCCACTTTTGCTCTCTGGCCCAACTATTTCCTTCAATAAACTACTGGAAGTGAGGTCACTGGGTCAAAGGCAAGAGATATTTTGATGGCTTCTCTTCCCTAGAAGCAGAGAAAATGACCTCTTCCTGCAGAGCACTGAGCCGGGCGGAGTCGCGCAGGCCGCGGGGCCTCCCCATGCTCTAGGTTCTCTCAGGAGAGGGATGTTTGCTACCAAGCAATTAGCAGAGTATTTTTTATTTTACTTTAAAATTCCAATTCCGGTTAGTACACATACAGTGTAACGTTAGTCTCAGGTGTTCAACAGAGTGAGTCATCACTTCCATACAACACCCCGGGTTCTTAGTCCCACCCCCTGTTCCCCCCTCCCCCAGCCCTCCCCTCTGCTGACCATCAGTGTGTGTGTTCTCTATGGCTGAGAGTGTGGTTCTCCGGAAGCCTGGGTGGCTCAGTCGTTGAGCGTCTCATCTGCCTTTGACAGGTCATGATTCCGGGGTCCTGGGATAGAGCTCCAAGTGGGGCTCCCCGCTGAGTGGGGAGTCTGCCTCACCCCCTCCCTCTGCCCCTCCTGCCACCTGTGTTCTCTCTCTCAAATAAATAACTAGTCTGTTTCTTGGTTTCTCTTTTTTTCTTTGTTTTGTTTCTTAAATTCCACAAGGAGTGAAATCATATGGTATTTATCTTTCTCTGACTTATTTCGATTAGCATTATACCCTCTAGCTCCATCCATGTCATTGAAAATGGCAAGATCTCATTCTTTTTTATGGTTGAGTAATAGTCCATTGTGTGTGTGTGTGTGTGTGTGTGTGTGTGTGTACACACCACATCTTCTTTATCCATTCATCAGTCAGTGGACACTTGGGCTGCTTCCATAACTTGGCTATTGTAGATAATGCTGCTATTAACATGGGGTGCCTGTATCCCTTCAAATTAGTGTTTTTGTGTATATACATATTTTTTTCTTGTAAATAAGGTAGCTCTACTTTTAACTTTCTGAGGAACCTCCATACTGTTTCCAGAGTGGCTGCACCAGTCTGCATTCCCAGCAACAATGCATGGGGGTTCCTTTTTCTCTGCATCCTCGATGACACCTGTTGTTTCCTGTGTTGTTGATTTTAGCCATTCTGACAGGTGTGAGGTGGTACCTCATCGTGGTTTTGATTTACATTTCCCTGATGCCAAGTGATGATGAGCTTCTTTCCATGTGTATATTGGCCATCTGGTTGTCTTCTTTGGAGAAATATCTGTTTATTTCTTCTGTCCATTTTTTTATCGGATTATTTGTTTTTTGGGTGTTGAGTTGCATCAGTTCTTTATATATTTTGGGTACTAACCCTTTATCAGAGATCTCATTTGCAAATATCTTCTCTCATTCTGTAGGTTGCCTTTTATTTTTTTTATTTTTATTTTTATTTTTTTAAGATTTATTTATCTATTTGACAGAGAGAGAGAGAGCACGAGAGCAGGAACACAAGCAGGGGGAGTGGGAGAGGGAGAAGCAGGCTTCCTGCCGAGCAGGGAGCCCGATGCGGGACTCGATCCCAGGACCCTGGGATCATGACCTGAGCCGAAGACAGACACTTAATGACTGAGCCACCCAGGTGCCCTATAGGTTGCCTTTTAGATTTGTTGATTGATTTCTTGGCCATGCAGAAGCTTTCTATTTTGGGGAACCCAGGTGGCTCAGTTGGTTAAGTGTCTGCCTTCGGCTCAGGTCATGATCCCAGGGTCGTGGGATCAAGCCCGACATTGGGCTCCCTGCTCGGCGGGGAGCCTGCTTCTCCCTCTCCCTCCTCCTGCTGCTGCCCCTGCTTGTGCTCTCTCTCTCTCTGTCAAATAAATAAAATCTTTAAAAAAAAAAAAAGAAGAAGAAGCAGCTTTCTATTTTGATGTAGTCCCAGTAGTCTATTTTTGCTTTTGTTTCCCTTGCCTCAGGAGACAGATCTAGAAACATGTTGCTGCAGCCATTGTCAGACATTACTGCCTGTGTTTTCCTCTAGGATTTTTATGGTTTCAGGTCTCACGTTTAGGTCTTTCATCCATTTTCAGCGTATTTTTGTGGATGGTGTAATAAACTGGTCCAGTTTCATTCTTCTTAATGTTGCTGTCCAGTTCTCCCAACACCATTTGTTGAAGAGACTGTCCTTTCCCCATTGGCTCTTCTTTCCTGTTTTGTCAAAGCTGAATTGACCATAGAGTTGTGGCTTCATTTCTGGCTTTTCTGTTCATCTATGTGTCTATTTTTGTGCCAGTACTATGGAGTTTTTGATGACTACAGCTTTGTGATATAACTCAAACTGTAGAATTGAGATGCTTCCAGCTTTGCTTTTCTTTTTCAAAGTTGCTTTGGCTATTCGGGGTCTTCTATGGTTCCAGACACATTTTAGGATTGTTTGTTCTAGCTCTGTGAAAAACGTTCTTGGTATTTTGATAGGGATTGCATTAAATGTGTATTTTACTTTGGGAAGCATAGACATTTTAACAATATTTGTTCTTCCAATCCATGAGCATGGAATAGCTTTCCATTTCTTTGTCTTCTTCAATTTCTTTCATCTGTGCTTTCTAGTTTTCAGAGTATGGGTCTTTCACGTCTTTGGTTAGGTTTATTCCTAGGTATTTTATTATTTTTGGTGAGATTGTAAATGGGATCGCTTTCTTCATTTCTCTTTCTGCTGTTTCATTATCAGTGGACAGAAATGCAACAGGTTTCTGTACCTCGATTTTGTATTCTGTGAGTTTACTGAATTGGTGTATTAGTTGTAGTTTTCTGAGGGGAGTCTTCCGGGTTTCCTACATAGAGTATCATGTCATCTGGGAATCGTGAAAGTTTCACCTCTTCCTTACAATTTGGATGCCTTTCATTTCTGAGGCTAGGACTTCTGGTACTGTGTTGAAGAACAGTGGGGAGAGTGGACCTCCTTGTCTTGTTCCTGACCTTAGAGGAAAAGCTCTCCGTTTTTCCCCATTGAGTATGATGTTAGCTGTGGTTTTTTCATGTATGGCCTTTATTATGTTGCGGTATGTTCCCTCCAACCCTACTTTGAGGGTTTTTCCCATGAATGGATGTTGTACTTTGTCAGATGCTTTTTCTGCATCTATTGAGAGGATCATATGGTTCTTGTCTTTTCACTTGTTGGTGTGATGTATCATGTTGATTGATTTGCAAATACTGAACCACCCTTCCAGCCCAGGAGTAAATCCCGCTTGATCGTGGTGAATGATCCTTTTAATATATTGTTGGATTTGGTTTGCTAGTATTTTGTTGAGGATTTTTGCCTCCATGTTCATCAGGGATAAATGGCCCTTTTTAGTGGTGTCTTTTTCTGGCTTTGGTATCACAGTAATGCTGGCCTCATGGAATGAATTTGGCAGTTTTCTTTCCATTTCTTTTTTTTTTTGGACTAGTTTAAGAATAACTCTTCTATAAATGTCTGGTAGAATACTCCCGGGAAGGTGTCTGGGCTTTTTGTTTCTTGGGAGATTTTTGATTACTGATTCAATTTCTTTGCTGGTTATCAGTCTGTTCAAATTTTCTATTTCTTCCTGTTCCAGTTTTGGTAGTTTGTATGGTTTTAGGAATTTATTCATTTCTTTCAGGTTGTCCAGTTTGTTGGCATATAATTTTTCATAATATTCTCTTATGATTGTTTGTATTTCTGTGGTGGTGTTATTTCTCCTCTTACATTTGTGGTGTTGCTTGAGGCCTCTCTCTTTCTTTTTTATGAGTCTGGCTAGAGGTTTATCAATTTTGTTATTCTTTTCAAGAAAAAAGAAAAAGAAGAAGATAGCAGGAGAGGAAGAATGAAGGGGAGTAAGTCAGAGGGGGAGACGAACCAGGAGAGATGATGGACTCTGAAAAACAAACTGAGGGTTCTAGAGGGGAGGGGCTGGGGGGATGGGTTAGCCTGGTGATGGGTATTGAGGAGGGCACATTCTACATGGAGCACTGGGTGTTATGAACAAACAATGAATCATGGAACAGTACACCAAAACAAATTATGTAATATATGGTGATTAACATAACAATAAAAAAATTAAAAAAAAAAGAACCACACCTTCTGGTTTCATCGATCTCTTCTTTTGCTTTTTTTCATTTCTCTATCATTTATTTCTGCTCTATTCTTTATTATGTTCTTCCTTCTGCTGGTCTTGGGTCTTGTTTTTCTTTTTCTAGCTTCCTTAGGGAAATGTTTGTTTATTTTGAGATTTTTAGAACAGTTTTATATTTAACTTCAAGGAGTTTCTTGAAGGGTACTGAGGGCACCCCGTGAGTGGCTCCTGTGAAGGCAGGTGTGGTGTTTCAGGAAGTACACAATGGCATGAAAGGGCCTTCGGGTAATTGCTGTGAGCCAAAGATGACAGAAGAAAAAGCAATGAAAGTGATTCATTTGCACCCTAATGGACCCATAACTGCTGCACTGGGGCCACTCGGGGATTCAAGCAGGGGAGGAGTGGGGAGAGCCAGACTGCTCCAACCTCACTCAGGGTACGACACAGAGGTGGGCTCAGCCACGGCAGTATTGCCCACTGGGGCCCAATTAGGGCACCATTTCTGGTAAGATTTAGTTTGTAGACATGCCTGGATTCATAGCTGCATGAGTGCCAAGAACACAGGGACTTCATATTTAGTTTTACATTTGTACGTATTTAAGAAAGTTTACAATTAAAATAGTTTAAACACGCTGGGATGGAGGTGGGGGTCTGTGAAGATGATTTTCCATTTGAGAAGGGCCATAGATCACTTTAATTTGAGGATGATGGGTCTG